GCGGGCGGCGCCGCCCCCTGCCCGGCCCCGGCCCCGGCCCCGGCGGAGAGCGCGGGACGCGAACCCGCGGCGCGAGCAAAGCAGCGGGATTTACTATCATTATTTATTTTCCGTTTATTTCAATTTTTGAACATTCCACTATTTTTCCTCCTCGCTGGAGCTGTATGTCAGCCCCGGTTCTGCTCGGGCTGCAGGGATGGAGCTGCTGTGCACCAGCCTGCCAGACTGGGTGTCCAAGCTGATCTGAGAGACAGTCGCTGTCCGTAACTGCTACACACGACAGGTCCATGTACATGACTGCCCATGGGCGTGCGCGAATATGTATGAAAATATATATTCATGAAAATAGGAAATAGGAAGTATGAATATGAAAATAGAAATGCATTGATTCTTAAAAATGGTCGTACATTATACTTGCATTCAAAGGTATGTCAGGATTGAATCTAGGGCTCACACATCATCAAAGTTAAGGTCCAAAAGCAAGTCCAAATACTACAGTTATTTTCTGTTCCCGAACTATGCCACAATGTTAAGCAGGGATTCAGTGAAACCTGACCTTTTTCTTGCCTCTGCTTTCCCTGGAAAGAATCTCTAGGTGGAACAGAAGTGCAGAGTCCAGAATACGCAGTTGTGCCACATGCAGCTGGGCTGCCGCTGCCCAAACCCAGCAGCCTCCAGCTTCCCACTGCCAGAGCTTTGAGGGGTTGAAACGAAATGGGGATGGGATTCTTTGAAAAAGGAGAAGAGCCAGAATTAACAGAGCTAGAGCTAACAGAGACTGTGTTTGCTGTGTGGACTGCGAAGGTCTCACTGGAAACATCCTAGAGGAGAAAAAAATAAAAATAATTTTTAAAAAAGTCTATTCTTTTCTTACCTCTGATGCAGCAGTGGAGAGCAATACTAATGCTATGTAAAGCAATGCAGTTATGTTGCTGTAGCTGAGAAAAGACCCAGGTCCTTTACGGTTTCTGCTTTGGGAAAGAATTTCTCCTACCGGAGGAGCAGAGACTCTCCTGTCCTTTACCCACAGAGGAGCCGTGCCCCAGCCAGCAGCCACACGCCCTTCTCCTTTTTCAGTTCATTCCTCATATTAGTGTTAGGAAGAGACGCATGTGGACCTGCAAGTTCACCCCCTTCCAAAACTGTCACCTAGTTACCTCTAACCCCTTCTGTCAGAGTGGGAGTACCATACATTCCTTGGCACGTGTCCTTCCCAGTGGAGGAATGAAACACATCTGATTTTTCACATTTAATTCAGAGTTTTTGTTGCTGCGGTTGCCATGCAGTTTGTCAGCCAAGCATAATCTCCTGGCAGGAGGAGATAGACAAACAACATAAGCAGGGAATTAATTCACTGTGGTTGTAGCCCTTAAACTTTTGGACTCAAGCAACAGATCATCTTGTCCTATTGCCAGTGAAAATAAGCGAAGTGCAAAAGCATAACACATCGAGTCCTTCTGGCCATAAAAGCAAAATAAATTACCTGGAGCTACCTCCAATACTAATTACCCGTTTAGCAATAATTTTCAGTTTCATAAGTAGGTGGAAACTACTGAGGAATAAGAAACCCCAGAGAAGATTTTCAGGGCATCAGAGAAATCAGAGCTGGTAACAGACTTGTTGGCTTATCATAGCTGCGGTCGTGCAGTAGCTGAGGCAGAACACAACTTCAGGAAACCCGAGTCTTTTTTGGTGGCAGCACAAAATCCTTTCATCAGATCCTCAGCCCTCACATCTGTTTGGTTGGCTTAGGCACTCTAGTAATTTGGAGGTCCTACAAATTCCTGATGTCACAGGTGATCTATTGAGGCACCGTTACTGGTGGGAGACATTCTCCTGCTCCCTCTCCCCAACCCTATCTAGGGCTTATCTCCAGTCTTTAGCCACTGCTGAACAGAGAAGAATGATTTAGTGAGAGAGCAGTGATAAGGAGCACAAGGAGACCCGAGTCTCCCCACCAGACAACATGCCCCGTGGAGAATTCTGTGCTTTGATGCCAAAGCAGTCCAGTCAAGGAAAACTTCTGCCAAGAACGAGAATTGAACATTATTTTTCATGCTGAAAGGCTACAGGGGTTTCTGGCTACCTTGCCACAAATGTATGTGACGATGTAAACCAGAACTTTTCATGTCTTGAAATAAACCACCTGGGAGGAGCATTTCAGGATTTCATCTGTTCAGAGTATAAGGTGGGAGAGAACTCCCCAGACACATTTCTTTGCAATGGCTCATGTACAACAATAACAGCACTGGGTGTATTAAAAAAAATGCTGGTTATTTATGCAGCAACTGAATTTTGTGCTAATTCTGCCTCTCAGTGTGCCTGAAGAGTCCCAAGTGAAAGTCACATGCAAACAGGCAAGGGCACTAGATAGCCCCTGGAGTGAGACACAGACAAAGCAACATGGAATATAAATAATGTCAGACATGAGTATGTAGGTTAAAAAAAAACAAACCTTAGTTTATTTAAATGTTCAAAGTACTTGGGAGGGAAAAAGATTACATTGTACTATGGCAATACAGGCAGCACATACCATAACAAGCTCATCCATCGTAATGATTTCAGGCTACTCTTCCAGCCTACTAATCCTCACAATCACACTGGTCTTTGGGAAAGGCTCACTGTCGATTTCTCTAGGGAACTCCATACTACAGAATAATTTTAGTGGTAACTTGCAGTCCTGTTTCTCTGTCTTAGACTCAGGAGCAGAGCATCATCCTCCCACCAGGGGAGAAAGCCAAAATATATCAAACTGCTACATGCACTGAGACCCTCTGTCATGGGTTAAGCATAGTCTGATGAAACAGCCAATCCAAGGACAAATGACCAGGGTGTCTGCGTTAACCTGATCCCAGATGTGGCTCATCACTGGGATGAGAAGCCTAATGCAGCATAGACTGTGAGAGATATTATGATAGTTATAAAATGCCATTTCCAGATGCATTTTTTTTACTTCAGGTTCTTCTCAATCCAGTCTTTGAAAGGAAGAGCTTTGGTGTAGCCACTGTAGAGTTCAAGGCTGCAAGTTTTATCATAACCCCAGCTCACTAATCCCATCAAGTGCCACCTTAGCTCAGGAGATGCCCTTCCTGGCAAAGGTATGGCTGCAATGCCACCAGTCTCAGCAGGGCAGATGTTAGAAAAGGCTGTGTGGTCCTGTTTGGCACAGAACATGCTGTCAGTGATGCTGACCTGTATCCCATTATCTTCGTACTGTTGCTCACACAACAGTGAGTCCACCAGCCGAACAACTCCCATGCGGATTGTGTCATTCTTGTATCCGGGATCTTTAACGTCAGCCAGTACCTTCCAGCCAGTAACCATTATTTTTAAATCCTCTGTGGATGAAGTCAACTCATGAGAAGATGCCAAGCAAATGGGTTGAACACGACTGCTGATTCTGGCTTTGTCCAAGAGTTTTATGATAGCTATGTCAGAATCAAGTAATATAGGGTCATAGTTGGGATGCACTATGATGGCAGAAATCTGTGGAAGAACCAAAGTAGGAAGAATTGTAAGGTTATTAGCCGCAGAAAATCAGCAACTCTCTTTCCATATTTCTACAATTTACCTTAGCTTATTTTTCCTTCTTTTCCTCCCCACTTTACTCCCAAAACATTCTCTCATCATAGAGTTCACTCAAATGACTGCTTCCAAATCAAAAACATTCAAAGAATCAAGAATCTTCTCCTAAGGTTTTGTTGTTGTTGTTGTTAGTTTGGTATTTTGTTTTGTTTGGCTTGGGTTTCAGGCCATTTTTTATTGCGTGAAACTCCCCTTAATGAAATGCAATCAACAACATCTTCACCAAAGTGTGGAGTTAATATGCAGTTCAAGGTTTTCTCCCATTTACTGAAAAGATTTTGCCTGCTATATTGTCTTCAGTCTGTAGAATTAATATTTGGGGAATGAAGGGAGGACTTTGAATTAAAACTTCTTTTTCATTTTAGGTGTAATAGGTGTAAGAAGATGATGTAATTCACCTATCTTCTACCTCGCAAAAAATAATAGCAATACAAAATGTAATGCTATGGCCAAACCTCATCATACTTATAAAGAAATACTTCCAAAAATAGTATATCTAAGAATATCAGAAAAAAATGCAATTAGTGAAAGAAACCAAAAAGCTACATATAAAATAACTGTCTCAAATAATAATCAAATAAACAATAACTCACCGCATAAAATGCATTAATGAACTCACACATTCCGCACTCCAAAAAAAAGAGACAAAACCGAAACTCCTGTATTTCAGTCTTTCTAGTTTTAATCCAAACAAACCATCCCAGTGAGCCTGAGGTGCTACTTCTGGAGCTGGAGTCAGGTAAAAACTTCTTTAGGGCTTGGGAGTTTCTTTAGAGTCTACTCAGTGCTGGGACTGAGATGTTAAATGTATTTACAGTGTCAAACCAAGATCCAGAGCACGAGTGTCTCCCTATAAATAATGCTAATTGCTACTGACAGTAGCTGGCACCTCTTTTCAGTTTTTCTTTCTGGCAATACCAGTCAAGATTTTATGGCCCATGGAATCTCATTTTCTTAGTCATTACTATTGAGGGGGGCCATGTGAGCCGGGCAGCGTAAGAGAAAATTAATGCACAGCAGCTTGTGCCCTCTTTGTGCCATGACTGCTCAGACACTTGAGTTCCTAGCTATGCGCTGCAAAGAGCAGTGCACAAAACAGTATTTCATCCAAAGGATAATCTCCTCCTCACACAGGATGAATGTGATCAACATGTGTCTGTGCTCATCATTTTCTGCTCTACCAGACTTACTCGCAGGTTCTGGATGGTCTTTTCATCTCTGTCATCATCTCTGTAGAACTTCCCCAGAACCACCTTGAGTTCAGCTGTCTTGAGCACGATGGTCTTGCCCAGGTCGGTGACGCAGTGCGCTGCCACCACCACAGTGCGCTCATTCACCAAGGCCCCGCTGCAGATGAGGATCCACATCCCTTTCCGGAGGCTGCTCTCCTTCACTCCGTTGGCCGTCCGATAGATGGCCGCTTGCCAGGGCCACCTGGTAGAGGTCACTGCCTTTTGAAGAGTGATGTTTTCTGCTTTTCCACAGACTGAGGAAACAAGAACCAAGGGAGAGGTAATGTCTCTCTCTCTTCAAAAAAACTGAGTGTTGCTCTTTCTTGATTCCTTTGAGGATGTGCCTCAAAAGGAACTAAACTGCAACGGTTAGCACGAGGCACAGCTTTGCTATCAACCTTTAACTTTACCTGCAAAAATCTGGTATATTTTATACAGCTGTGAAAGACATTAATTTTTCCATTATTATCTGAATTCCTCACTAGCACAGGAAACTGAGTGTAGCACTCAAGCAGGTAAATTTTCATGACAACATTTTCCAGCTGTACTATAATGAGATATTTATATAAAGAACTTGCCAGAACACCACGATTCTCACCTCTACTAAATCACCACATTACCAATCAGCAGTGTACTAAAACCCATCTGAAGCAGTTGCAGGGTAGCTAGGGGGTCATCTCCTAGAACTGACCTTGGCACAGTTGCATTAATTCCTCTTAGGACAGATTTCTCTTGCAGTAAAACCTTGAAGCAGATGCACATAAATCAACGGCCATCATGAGGAAAATAGAAAGAGAAAGCCATCCTTGCCCTAGGAATGTATTAGCCTGACTTAGGTCTGGGGTAAAATTTTCTGTAGTAGGAAAGGTTTACTTCATTTCATAGAGTTGCATCATCTAGTCACATTTCTGCATTTCCCTTAGGACATTTTTTTCCTGGGACATAGTGTTTACAAGCCCATAACCATAAGGAGTGAGTGAAATATTTCTCTCAATACCTTGGATGATCTCAAAGCAAAATCACAGAATCTCTAAGAATCTGTATGATGTTAGGATCCACCGTCCATGGATTGCTTGATGTCAGTAGTGAGTCATATCAAATCCTGTGATGTTATTATCCTGACTTACTATGTGCACTAGCTCTGCATAATACTTTGTCTGATCTTAGATTTTTCAATATGAGCCTTTCCTTAGCAGGGTATATTAAAGGAAGGGGCTTTTTAAAATGCTGACTTTCCATTCTATTGATTAAACCTTGATGTTTTCTTAAGCTGTGTGCCGAAGTGTAGAGATGAAAGAAAAATCACAACTGCGGTAAATAAAGCAGGAAAACATGAGGCGATAATTGGAAAACATTTTCAAATCACAAGAGAACCCCATTATGCCTCCTGCTCCATAAAAGAAGAGAAAAAATGATGGCAAATTATAGCGTTGAAAGCTTGATCCCTTTACCACCACCTACAGAAGTTCTACTGGTAGGTAAAGAGAGCCATATATCTTGCAAGCTTTATTGCTCCTATTTCCCATCTGGAAGCACAGATAGCCTACAGTGTTAGCGCTCCCTAATTACCTAAGATGAATACGCATCCTGTTCCCCCCTCCACCAGGAGATGTGCACATTTTTTCCTGCAGAGACTCACTGGGAATGCACACAGGGGCCCTCCCACTCCATTTCCCTGTCTTCAGGCAAGTCCTCCTGCTGCTCCCCAGGCGGCGGTAGAAGGGAGAGATGCACTCGTACTGCAGCTGAGTGTGCAGATGCTGGTACCCCAGGGGCAGCTCTCCGAACGGCAGCGCCGGCTTCTTGGTTGGATAGATTTCCAGCTTCTGCTTGCTGAATGCAGATGAGTAAAGTTGATGCAAAGGTGTTTCCCTGTTTCAACACAAAAAGAACACAGGGTAATAATAATGGTATGCCAAAAATGATCCTTACTGTAGATTTATCACCAGCTGTGTTAAATAGCATTTAAAAACATGAGCAGTTAGCTTTCTTGTGAAATTACATAAGGAAAAAAAAAAGCCTTCTACAATAGCTTAGTGACACTCCCATTTACATTTCTGATATTTTGTTTATTTTTATGTATATACCTATCTTTGTCTATAACATATCTACTTGTGTGTCTTTTTGTTTTTAATTTTACAGTTTCTGGATTGTATCCATTGCTTCTGGATTGTATCCAATTGCTTCTGAATGTGGAACAGTTCTTGCTGTTCACAAAAGGACTGGGATATCGTATTTTTAATAGAGAAATTACACTGGAAGTTGGCATTGCCATAATTACTTCTCCCTGGAGAGGACTTAGACACATCTTTTCTCTGGTGAACATTTTAATAGGCAGTATTAAAAATCGATTCAGATTAAATCATGTTGATAAAGTTCCTTGATTTAGCAATTAACAGAGATAATTACTTCACCATAGAGATTTCATAATTGCAATAAGCACTAAGCTTCCATTTAGAAATTGTACTGATTAGCTGAAACATAGCACATAATTAAAAAAATAAATACATGCATCAGCCTGGACATGGACCATGAGTTTGACTAGAGTCATACTTAAATCTTCATCACTTAGAACATGTCCCTTGCACTAATGCTTTAAAATTCTATCTCCAGAAAAAAAGCTATTTACATCTGCAAAATTCAGCAGGCCATTAATTTCCCTTGAGATTTCTGGTACTGCCTGCATCCAGAAAAGATGGATTCCTAAGAATGGATTTTTCATGTGACAATTCTATTTCTGGTCATAGAGAGACAGAGGCTGTCTCCATCACATAGAATCTGTGAGATGATGCCTCAAGGAAGGCAAAGTTATTACGAATGAGAGCAATGGAAAGTTCCTCTGATTTTGGAAGAGGGATGAGAAGTGCCGTGTGTTCACACTCAGACTGTCTGGGTCCAATTCCCCACTTACAAAGTGATCTCGCCTTATTGCATAGCCCATACTTTGCCTCTATTCCACTATTCTATAACATTATTATTCAATTATATTGCAATACTAATTCAGGAGATAAAAACAGTTCACAAACATGAGATGCCATCATGTTGCTACAAAGGTGGGGACATATATTTGCTCTCATGCGGCAGGTTGAAGCAGTCTGAAACATTTAGTATAAGAAGACCTACTTTCAAAAATCAAATTTAAGGAAAAATTTAAGGAAATTTAAGGAAAAAATAAACCTCCTAATAGCTACTAAAATCTCCTGATGGCCTCCTAGGATCACCTCTAAGATCCTAAGCCACAGACAGCTGGAGGGTAGGAGAGTATTTGCGGAAAGTGTGTGCTTGTCTTGTTTCTATAATCTTCTCTAGGCATCCACTACTGGCCATTGCCAGAGACAGGATAGGGTTTGAGCTGGACCTTTATTTTGACCTGCTGTGGCTGTTCCTAAGACCAAATATGAGGACAGTTATTTCACTGAATCTAAAAATAAATGAATCCTGCACTGCAAAAAGACATTGAAATGAGAAATAATTACTTGGACAAAAATGAACCTGATCATTTCAGCGTAACTAGAAAGATTCAGATTGGGCTCATTTTAAGAAACCAGCAAAAGGGCACGGACAGACACTGTCTGAGTTTTCACTCCTTCCTCCTCTCCCCCTCTCCTTCCTTCTCTCCCCCATCCCCATCCCAAACGCAGCTTTATATCAGTTGTACTGCACTGCTTTGGACAGCGAAACCTAATGAAGCAGATTTACACCGTGCTGTCCCCTCTCATCGGGGGGGCTCGGGCACGCAGGGCGGAAAGGAGGGGAGGGAAAAAGCAATCACGTTTTTTCTTAAAACTATAGTTGAGATATTGCATTCTCACCTTGACTGAACCTGCATTGGAAGCACTTTCTGTCTCACCAGGTCAGAGATCTTTGGCTCTCTGCAGGCTAGAAAAAATACAATGTTGCACAGTCCTTTTCCACATTCAGAGCGCAAATCTTACGGTTCATATATCTTTCCACCTTTCCTGTGGCTAGCAATACTAGATTGCATTAAGGAAAAAGGGAGTCGGTTATACGCAATAAATAATAAAGATAGGCTATAAAGCCTAAAACTTTAGAAAAAAATACTCCTTTGCAGATCTCCAGATCTATCCCAACCCTGGAAGAAACTGAGCATCTTCTGTATTGGGCACTTTGAGCTATGAAGGAAGATTTCACTGTCAGTGCTTGAATGCTAGATTTATACTACAACAACTGACAGTTTTGCAAAATTTTTCAAAAACTATAAATTATACGTAAAATATTCAATGTCCATTGCTCCAGCAACACAAAGCTGATCCCAGGCATACAGAGAAAGGCAGCAGAGTATCACAGACTTCTGCAAGGAAAGGATTGAGGACCCTTTATGAGGAATATATATAAAATGACAGAAAGGAGATCCAGGACTTCTAATTTTGCATATTAAATTTATTTTAAGAGGAGGATAAAATATCCAGCTGTATCAATCCACAAGATTTTGCCAGGGTCTCTTTTCTGCTGCACACAGTGGAAGAAAAGGAATCTGGCAGGATGTATTTCATCTGTATGCCTGAGCACTCATGTTCTGCAGGATTTAACAGTATCTAGATCTTTGTGATTACTGTATATGTTAACCTTTATGTCACTATCAAAGTTAACATCAATAAAAATGCTTTCCACAAATGGAGATGATTACGTGCTTCAGGGAGAGAGTACTTCCATCTAAAATAACAAAATAAAGCAAATTCCCCAGGGGACAGATATATTTCCTTATATTATCATTACTTCGGTTAACAACAAAATCTATTAAAGTATGTTTCAAAAAATTGCTTCGGGAAAACGGATTTGGCAGTTCCCCAGCCCAAATTCCTTTACTCATTCAGGGCTGCAGACATGCTTTCAGTAGCCCCAGGTCAACAGCGTAATTCCCTTTCTAGCAAAGCACTTAAAGATGTGTTTCAGCGTTCTGATGAACACAGATAGCTTAGGCATCTCCTCAAGTCATTTTTTTCAATCATACCTTTCCAGGATGCAATCTACAAACCTGGCCTTGTAAACCTTTACACTTGTGCCCGGGCCCATCAGCTTAAAAGGACCGTGAGAGGAGAACTGGGCCCTGTGACAGCAAGTCTGATGAGACAATTATTTCCTTCTATTTCAGTTCCCTGCTGATCTTCTTTGATTTTGATCTTGCTCAGTTTTGATCCTAACATGAGAGTAATAAAAGGTTTAGGGAAAAATTCCTCTCTGTGTTTAAAGATGAAAACATCTGCCCAAATCGGGCTGAGTTTAGCAGCCAGTAAGAGCTGGCAAACTACCAGCCTCAGTATCAGGTGGCAATCAGAGGGCCTACTCTTAGGAAAACTGATTGTTTGGCCAGGGTAAATTACATAAAAACACAACAGTTTTTATGAGTTTTTGAAAAAAAGAAAAGTTTGCAAACTACCTTTTATGCAGATAGGCTGTTTCCCTGACCATTCTCCATTGTCTTGGCAGGTCCTCTGTTCATTCCCACTAAGAACATAGGAGTTGTTACAAAAGAAAGCAATGACTGTGCCAATTTTTGCATAGCGTCCATTCAAGAGCCCAGTGTCTTCTACCACTCTTCTGTAGCCATTGAGTGGGCCCCCAGGATCTGAGCAGTTTTTTTCATCTAGAACTAATGATAGGGGGAGAAAAAAATAGTAACCATTTTATCAAGTTCACAGCATCATTTTCACCTGTCAGACTGCTTGATATTACATGCAGATATTACTACACAATCTACACTTCATTAAAGATGTCTTTTCAAGACCCAGCTGGGATTTTGGTCTTAGAAAAAACTGAGTACTAAAGGAGCAATAGTAATCGAGATATTTACCTATAATAAGCACTTTTGTCTTTGCTGAAAGTGTAAGACTCTCAAATTGTTAAAAAGTCCCTCTAATATTTTCCTGATAAAACCCTGAAAAGGAAGCTTGACTTTACATGATTTTCATGATCTATTAACTTACACAGGGCTACTTCATGTACCCAAAAAGATGCCCTTGTAATATCTTCAGGGAACTGGCCCTTGGCATCTCTTTACTATTTCTGTACTTTAAATACTTCACCAGACTTGGATAACAAAACTAGACTACTTAATTTTACTTTTATGTTTGGATGCATTTTGGTTTCTTAGCATTAAGAGGGCGATCTCAATAATCCAGGGAAATGCTGGAATTTAAAGAGAACATATATATTTTTACTGATACTAAAATTTTAATATGGAAAGCTTATTCACATAAGGTTTTGCCCATAAAACCTCTTTTACTTCCTCCTCCCCAGTATTTTTCTCTTCTTTATTTTTTTTCTCAATACATTTAAATTTGTGGCCTAAATCTAGATGACAGTTTCCCTAAGTAATGCTAATAAATGCTTTTCTCTGTATTTTTCCGCCCTCTGCTCTTTACATTTAAAAGCTGAAAAAGGTGCAGTTTGTTTTCCTTTGGATTTCATCTCAGTTTTTTTGTCAGGTTGACAGCAGCATGCAATTCTATTAAATTTCCCCATCTGACGTCTCATTGCACGACACCCCATGAATATCTAGTTTAGACAGTTGGTGGTGCTGCTCTGTGTATCAAGGCCAGAGAAGACCGACAGATGGATCAACTGGCTAGAAATTACCTCTTTATGTCATTGCTTCCAACTTGCCTGCCTACTGAGCCTCAGTTCCCAAAAGCACTAACATAAAACAAACCACTTAAACATTTACTTAAATCCCTGTGAAAGCAGCACAACAACAGTGCCTCGATGTGGCACTGAGCTGGTCTCCATATTCTCGTGTTCCCAGGGGAAGGCCAGCTCAACATGGCATGTAAGCCCATAGCTAATCCCAGCAGCACGTTTAAACAAAGAGCAGAGGCTCTTAAAACTGAGCACGCAATTCAAGTGAGCACATAGGCACTGCTTTCCTCCACAACACCGGATTTTAGCACATGCAGAAGGTTATACATATGTATTTACATGCTTTTGCATGTAAGATTCATATTCATTAAAGAAGGATTCCTGAAGTTCCTCACTATCAGGAGGCGGGGAGAAGCAGAGTTTCTTTCTCCCCCTTGCCTCACAGGCTCTCACTTGCAAACCCCAGGTGACCACCAACTAATCAGCTGAAGAATGAAGGGAACCCCCACCACCTAACGCTGTACCTGCATGCTGCTTTCTGTACAGGTACCTAGCTTAGACACAGCACCTGATGACTACCGTGTATGTTTTCAAAGGCACCTATGCTCAACCAAGTAAATCTACATACCACACCTTTAAAGGCATTCTCTTATTTCATTCTGTGCGAATCAGTAACTTCAGAAATAATTATCTTTTCCCTAAGTTCAGTGTTATGACTTCTTTGGTGGATTAAACACAAAAAGAAGCCATCTGGGAAGGAACGACCCATTACACCACATAGCACTTCAGTAATAGCCAAGTCTAGATATAGATATTTAGCCAATGATATCATGCAGCAGGGATTTTAGGACAAACCTGTATTACATTTATTGCACCTGGAGACTTTCTCTCTAGACAAGAGAATGCCTTGTGCCTGCTCTTTCAGATGAACCTACATACAGCTGCTTCATGACCCTCCCCTAAAAGTTTCCATTGCTTGCCCTGTGAAACACCCTGTGAAAGCACTTTTCCAATCGATAAAAATGATTTTGGAATCTGGAAATAAAATTATGCAATACAAAACAACTAAATAAAAGTCTCTCTGGAGGGTAGAAGGAGTTTGTGATTTCACAGCTGAATCTCTGTGAACCTACGTGATCTACTGAAGGCACGCAAACGTGCAAAGCAAGCGTAGAAGCTCTGCTCTCTTAAAAATTTTGCTGTAGGATGGGAATCCTGTTTAATAGAAACAAGGTCTTCATACAGAAAGTCCCTTAATCCCCTCCACAGAATGCACTAGACTTCTGCAGAGAATGTATCAGAGACACAGTATTAATGGAAGCAGCTTCACTGATGCATAAAGGCCCCTTCTTGGTTTTGATCCTAGAAATTTTCAGTCTAAGGAGAATGTATGACTACAATCGTTCGGGAAATTATTTTTCAATTGCTTGATGTTTCTGTCAGACCTTTAAATAAGCAAGTCCTGCAGGCTTGGGCTTCAGAAAAACACAAATAAAATCACTACTGCTTCTTAAAGACAGGAAGACAAAAGAGCATCATGCTAGGCCCTGGAGCTACCAAACTTCAAGTGACATTTGGATATTCCTGGTTTAATGCGAATACAATGGCCGCAACATTTGATAAGAATCAAAATGTAAAGTGACCTTACCACATTCAGGATGATGTGTTGACCAGCTCCCATCAAGCTGACAGTAGGCAACACGGCTGCCTTTTAAGCTGTAACCTGCGTTGCACTTGAAGTAAACCTGGGCCCCGTACTTAAAGTCATCTCCTTCCACAATACCATGAGCGGGAGCACCTGGAGTCCTACACATCACCACTGACAGTTCAGATATTTCAAAAAAATCCACTTTATTACAAAAACAGGACTGTGTTAGGATGATTCTTTATTTAGAACACTGAAAATTCAATTAAAATGGGCATAGAAGTCAAAAGTACAAGATGCCAATCTTTAGAAAACTATTTAGACTTCAATTCTACACACACACATGCACTCACTTTACCACACATAACTAGATCCATTCAAATCCATGTCATTACTCAGATGTGGGAAGTAATGAAGTGCATAAGTATTTGTAACATTAGGATTCCCATTTCCTCAGAATATTAAAATTTGAAGAATTCTCCATCTTAATAGGGGTTTTGAATGAACTACCACGCTTCTTCAACAACAACAAAAATAGTTCCTTAAAATCTTTATATCGAATCGTTCCAATTTTATATACATTTTCAGATAATATCCCTGAAATATTAAAGCATCATTATTTATGTAGACCAAACATTACCACAGCACCATTAAAAAGGAACCTTGATATTTACCAGTTATATTTACCCTTTCCACAGGATTTGCACTACAGGGAAAATACTGAAAGAGAATGGTGCATTTAACTTCTGCAATTAATATGAGTTTAAAGATCCTAAGTCAGCCTTCTCTGACAACATCAACCCAGCCATACAAGACAGACAAGAGGCCCATCCGGCACAGAATCCTGTCTTCGATGGTTGCAAAGAGCAGATGCTTAGGAAAGAGCATAAAAATAGAGCAAGCACATGGAATGCTTCCCTGCCGTATTCTGCCTCATTCAGCAGCCTACAGTGCTACCCTGGGTAAAGGAACTACAGGACAATCTTTGGGTAAAACATACTTTGACTTTTTTTTCCTACATTAATCTGTCTATGTACTTGGTGTTCACAGTATCGTGTGGCAATGAGTTCCATGGACTGAGTGTTGGGTGAAAACTACGTCTTTGGTTTGTTTTTCAGTCTTCCACCTGAGGAGCTTCCATTTCACTGACGTCCCACCTCCTGTGTTCAGACCATCATGCCATACTCACCCTAGACCAAACTACAATATGCAGAGGCTGCATCAGGGTAAGAACTGGCTGCTTTTAGTATCAACATGGAAATTCATCTCCCGGTCTCTCTCTGGCTTCGCTTTTCCATTCACTGTGGACAACTGCACAGGAGGGGATTCAGCACAAGATTTACCTATGCATATGTGTTTTCTCTTGGGAGCTGTCTACTCTGCCAAAGACAGATGAATATTACAGAGCTCATGTCTGCTTTACACTTTCCTAATGTGACTTCTTTTTCTCTTTTGCCTTGCAGCTATTGGATCTAGGTACACAAAGAAGGCTACTTACTAACCTTACTACAGCCACATTTTGATCCTTTCACTCCCTGAAGAAAAACCTTCCTAAGGCCCCAGCTCTGCAATCCTTACCCAGAGCACACACGAATGCCTCTATTCACACACAGTGCATCCAGAGATGCAGAGACCATCCAATTATTCACATAAGGAAGATATTCTTGAGCGAGGAACAGGCCTAACGCAGAAGCATTCACAAGAATGAGGCTCCACAGCAATTCCCCTCATTTTGCAGATAACTACAGACATCAAACAAGCAGTTGGCAGAATCATTTGTGCACTAGTAAGCACAAGCCTTGAAAAGGAAACCTCCAACATCTGAGAGTTAGAGAGGGGCCCAGACTCACTACTACCAATCAAAACACATCCAGTTATGGGAGCTCAACGTTTCCTCTTGGCTGCAAGCATTCTGCATCAGCAAAAGAACAGTGATAAAAAATCAGCAAAATTCTTTCGTAGAACATGATGTTTTCTCATATGAAACCCACCCACATATATATCTACATATATATATATATGCATATGTATATATCCACATATGCAAATGAAAAGGAAATAATGGTACACAGATTTTTGAGGTATTTCAAATTCTCAAAACATATTTCCCTTGTCATGATCTCTGCTTTCTCAAACTCCCTCATATCTTTCTTTGAACATCAATTTCTTTCATTTCTATTTCTCTCTTTCAATACGAGTCACGCTCTACTTGTCAAAGGAAAAAAAAAAAAGATGAGAAACATCTGTGGACCATTCAGAGTCCTTCTTTTTCACCTAAATACAGGTTTTCTGTATTGATTGTGCATCAGCTCTGCAGAATGTTTTGGTGCTTTTGTGTTCTAGGTCCATCCTGGGAAAATCTTCACCAAGTTACACTTATTCTCTTCCCACAGACTGTAAGCATTTCATCTTGTCCAGTACTCCTAAGTATTTGCAAATCCAATGCCTGTTGCAATTGCAAAGGTTGCTGGACTTTCTTCAGATTCTGTGTGTCAGCACAGCCTAGCTGGAACAACTGGGTTGATTTGATTTATAAGGTAAATTCAGTATTTTGTGCAAAGATTCGTTTAGTAATGGTACAGTGGACTGGAGCAGAGACCATGAGATCTCATCAAAGCTGTGCATCTGGGGCCATGTGTGTGTTACTTCATTTGCTGTACCTAGCAGATGAGAACACCTCCTTGCTCTCTGGGATGTTACAAGCATCAGCTCTGATCTCCTAATGTCCCCATCCAAAAATTGCATGTTTTGTACTTCTCATTCATATCTAGGTCTGCCCTTACCCTTTAGTTACACAAACTAGCCCTAAAATTCAACCATATGAGTTGACCCAATTCTCTTCAGTTTCTAAGCTTTGTTATACATCTGCTATCATGTCAAATTCACTTGCTTAAGCAGCACGGTCCCGATCCTGGCTCTACGGAGCATCTTTGAAGGTCAGCGTTCTGCTTGGCCCAGCTCCCACAGCTCACATCTCCCTGTCCGTGTCCACAACCAGCCACCCACCTCCTGCCTCCTGTCATCTTCCAGCTACTTCTGCTCCAACCCATCACTTCTGGGCCACTGCTGAGACTGATCTGGTCCATGTGAAATCCCTGATTCCTGCCTGCAACTTCAACTTTCTACTTTAAAGGTGTCTTAAATGCTTGTGGCTGGTGGTTTGTGCTGAGTTTGAGCACAGCATTACCTGTCAATAGCAAAACAAGAGAAGAGAGAGTAGGAAAATCTGTCTTGACAAGCCAGAGGAGGACTTTCTCACTTTAACCACTTCGCGGTGGTTAAGGAAGGAACTGGAATCTATAGCTCTTATCCTACTTAAAAGCATTGTTCTGGTGTCAGTGCAATGTCCTCTGAACAGCCGTCACTGCCCAGCTTTCAGAAGGTCAATATCTTACCTTTTCTCAGTGCACTTTGCAAGGCAGACAGAGGCAGAAGCAAGGCAGAGAGCCTCAAACACAATTATTTGAATAATAACTACGAAATGTACCATGAACGCGCTAAGACTCACTCCAAACCATAAGGTTTGAGGCAACTCTGACAGACTGGAACTAGCAGAGTCAGGGGTTCCAGGCTGCAGGGTTCAGCCTCAGCACCTTTCCTTCTACGCACAGGAGACTAAAGCCTCCGGGAAGCCAGAAATTGGGCTGTGTGGCTGCAAAACTTTACCACGAGGAATCTGAGCAAACGATGTCTGAGCAACCCAAGGCTGCACCAACCCAAAGAGTCTGTGTCTGAAGCCAAGGCTGAGCCCATCGCTCAGGCTATGGCCATCATCCCACCTATAGAGTCTGCACTGAATGTGGGGGCTCATGATAGAGAATGGTGAGCTTGAGGAAAGACTAGGAGCTAAGAATGCCCATCCTGACTTAGCAAAAGCCAAAAAGTACCGTAGTATGAAAGCTAAAACCAGGAAGGATACAGCAACATATTTAAAGAAAGACAAAGAGATATGTCCAGACAGCACAAAATTATGCATGGGAGAATTCCTACTGAACAAGGGCTAGAAAAGTCTCCTTGACAAATATTTGAAATACAAAGAAGAATGCAAGTGGAAAAGATATAAGCCCTCAGCATTTGAAAACTGCAAATACAACCTGAAAAAACACTGGAACTAATACTGGAGAGAACAGGCCTGCCCAACGAGGCCCCCTGTGAGATAAACATTTTTTTCAGCTTTAATTTTCCTATATTTTGCTACATAATGTTGCTCGTGGGAAGTTGCAGAATTAATGTACACAGGCATGCAGCTAACCCTCACCACTTTAGTGTCTGAGCCAAGTACTGGCCTGATACAGCTCTGCACAGGTCGTAAGAGGCAAAAGGAGGAAAGCATAAAACTAGGTGGCTACAGGCACCTCCAGCAGAAACGCGGATTGGTGACAGACAGCCTTGTTGTTAGAGAAAGAAGAAAAAAACAGAGCTGCCTCAAGTGCCTGTTATACAAACTCACAGATCCTCAATAAAACTTCTGAGTCTTCTTGTCTCATACCTTGCTGTCTTGCAAAACAAAAGAAAAATATTTCTGTCCCATATGAAACATAAAAACAGCTCCTCACTTCACATATAACTTTCTGCAGTGAGAGAAAAACTAGAATAGATGAACAGTAAGTTCCTGAATTTTTAAGAAAAAATGTTCCATTATTAATAAAACTGTACAGATTGCTCTCCTTTTTCAATTATATGTAGGAGACATTCCTCAGATCTGAATTATCTGCCATTTAGAAATAGTTTTCATGCTCATTTTATCACTAGTGAGATAAATTAGATGATCTCCTGAGCTGCACTTTTCTCTCTTCAACGTCCTTCAAATCCTGCCTGATGGAATTATCATTTGCTCTTGTCCCAGAGTCCCTTCATTAAATTAATACCATTTTTTTTGCAGTCCTCCTCTCACCCACTTCCCTGTTAAATAATATATACCCCCTCACACGTATCATACATAATCTCTAAATTCTGCATATCCTGTTCAATAATAAATCACATGCCCGAAATAAATCTCATTTCTCACTGGTGATACTAAGGCAAGGTTTGCGTTTCCATTTTGTCCCCCTGATGTCTTATGGGGCACAAGAGCTTGTAACTATTTTTATTTGTTCTTAATTGGTTTGCAGGATTTTTTAATACTGCTGCTGCTAAAGTAATTGATTGTGTTGCACAGTCCCAAGTCACCGCTT